AGCAAGCATAACAGTAGGCAAGGCTACCTCCACGCCGCCAGTATTTCCTAATATCTCTCCCAGTCCCATACATGCTTCAGGTAGTTCGTGATTATTCTGGTGTCATGGTAGCGCTGCTGAAATACAATACACAGTTGTCGCATATGGAGGTGTTCCTGTTTTGACCCATTGGAGATTTTATAATCTGCAATAGTGTCCATCAAAAGAAGACACACTTGATAGCTGGAGGGGCCTTTGTAATTTATTTTTCGTTTTCCACTCTATCTTACAGAACACAGGCCACTCTGTGGTTGCATTTTAGCTTATTCCACAGGTTCAAATTCGGTAGGTCTTTATTCCATTAATTTCCACCGCAATCAGAGGACCTGTATTCAATATCCGCGAGTGCTGAATACCAGATATACATTTCCCTAAACCAAATAAAACACACTGCGCAAACATCTTTCTTACCCCAGTCCAGCAGCAGTAGCATAGACGGAGGCAGAGCAAAGAGAAGGCGCTTCAAAAGATGCTTCCAAGCCCCAATTAAAATCAATGAAGGGCTTCGAAATGGGATTGGTACGTAGGGCTGGCCGGATTACTATTACATGGGCACCCCTTTGCAAGCTGCAAGAGCTGCGAGGATGTATTCACCTAATCGGTGTGATACCCAGCGTTTTTTCATAATAGGATTGTTTCATAATAGGAGTGAGCTTTCGGATTATCGATGCAGATTTGCGCAATATTATTTTCGGTCAACGTATTCATGAGGCACTGAATTGATAATCTTTCATTTCACCGTATTTACCTTGTATACTGAGCTACTGAAACTCAACATTCTATTCTAACACCAGTCCAGAATCTGCCACATCAGATTGATCGCCAACCCATGTGTCGTGCGTTACGGCCGTCCAGGAATGCGAGATATTGTTTAACACGAGAAGTTATTCCTTCGGAGTCCAAGCGGAATCGTTCATAATTGCTCGGGTTTGACGCAGAATAACCGTAAGAGCTCATACCGACACTAGCCGTAACATACCGAGCCCAGGTCGTGGCCACGTACTCTTCGACGCTGATGATTGGCTTGCCATCTAAGGGAAATACTGATTCTCGGTATTCCCCACTTTGCTGATCAAAGAGATCGAAGCTTGGGCAGCTGACAATCCGACAACTAATGGAATGCTGCTCGCGTAATTGCTTTGCGGCACGAACGGCATGTTGCAAACTTGAACCACAGCTGACTAAAGTCACATCAGCTTCGGTGTCATTTTGAACCACGTATGCTCCTTTGAGCACACTAAACCTGCTGGTTCCTGGAGTGTTATCAACAGGATCGCGAGCTACAGAAATCATTGTGGGGCTGTTAGTTGATGCCGTTGCCCACATCCAAGCACCGATCACCTCTTCTGCATCAGACGGCCGGATGTATGTCAGGTTTGGCATAGCACGATATAGTGAATCAAGTTCGACAGGCTGATGAGTAGGGCCGTTCTGGCCCTCAGCTACTCGAGGTTAGTACTGGCGGAACATATTTCATTCTGAGATCGGATTCATTGTCTTACCGAATGAGTCGTGCGTTGCAATGTGGATCACTGGAAGGTGGCTGAGAGCACCCATTCGTACACCCGGTGCTGCCTATAAGATTATTGAAACCCCTGGGTCAGCAAAATATGATAATAATAGCCATCTTGATAAACTCACGTAGATATAAAACATAAAAAACGTTGCAGTCACTGGTAGAAAGGTTCCAGGATGAAAAGCAGCAATTCCATTTGAAATGGAGGCCATCGCATGCTCTCGGATTCCATGCCTTATATATCGCCCTTTATAGCTCACTGATGGATGAAACACATCGCTGTCTGAATAAACGAATTTGTTGGAGTTGACAAGGTCTGCACCTCCACCACACAACGAAGGGTAGAAATCCCAAAGCCTTTCCAATATTAGTCCATTGGACTCTCTGGTTGCCATCCCCCGGAATTGTTCACTGTCTAGACGCTCTAGCAGCGTCTTCAGGTCTGGCTTCGCACCCCGAAGCCGGAAGGCAAAGTCACCGGCCTTTTCTGGATATTCACGAGCATATCTCATCAAGAGGTCCTCCCAGTCCCTCTCTAACGCTTCGCCGTGCTGCTTCCTTTCGCGGAAGTACCTTAAGCCGCGTTCTGACGGATTATGGGTCGTAGAAGGGTTTTGGCCCGCGGCAATTTTAGATCGAGCCACGCTCTCAGGATCGAAGGCTCCGTGGTGCGCCTTAGCAGTTCCAGCGGTACTAGTACCAAGACCAATCACGGTACGAATGTTGATGAAAGTTGGTTTTCCCTTCAGCCATTTTGCATGATTTAGCGAGGAAATGATCTCTTCGACACCGTAACAGCCATCTAGGACGTCTAGGACGTGCCATCCGGAGGCTCGCATTTTACCATTGACATCCTCGCTGTTGATCCACGAGAGTGGTCCATCGCAGGTAACGCCGTTGTTATCGTAGATCAAAACGAGGTTGTCCAATTGCAAATGACCGGCAAGGGCAATGGCTTTCAAAACTCTGTCAGTGACTGATTATTTCGTGACATACATTCAAATAAAATTACCTTCAAGGGCAACACCTTCCATAAGACAACCATCGCCAGTCATGCAGTAAATGCGGGAATTCACCAGTTCATGCCCAGGCTGGTTAAATTGGGCGGCCAAGTTCTTGGAAGCAATAGCAAGACCAACCGCGTTAGCGATTCCTTGTCCAAGAGGGCCTGTGGTAACTTCAACGCCAGGGCACTCAATTTCCGGATGTCCATGTGCAAGCGTTGTATACCCATTCTCTTTTGCACTTCCATATCCCTTCAGCTCATCCATTGTCCAGGCATCATATCCTGTCAAATAGTTGAGCGCATATAAGAACATCGCACAATGACCTGTTGCTTTAGTTGGTATGAGTTACTTATTGATATCGGTCCACGTACCATTGGAGAGCACAAATCTATCCCTGTTGAACCAGTCCGGGTTCGAAGGATTGTATCGCATAACGTATTTCCACAGGGCCACACCGATTGCTGCCATTCCAATGGCAGATCCACCATGCCCCCCACCGTTCTGGTTGCAGATATCGAAAATTAAATTTCTCAGCGTAAGAACGGCAAGGTCATCATCAGACATGTTCACCGGTTTGAGATATACTTCGGAGGAGCCCATCTTGCTAGATGAGTATAAACAAAGAGAAATATTCTTGTACTCAAAGAGAACTTCAATGTAACGTGCGTTCAGTGGAGATATTTGTAGGTTATGGATTTATAGGTGTCCCAACCTCGACCATTCTTCCCGGGATCGCATTCCCGAAAGCCACGAGAAAGCACCCAGGGTGGAGGTAATTCCCGGCTGAGCTACAAACCCGCTTGCTGCACCACACTTCTGCATCAAACAACTCAACGACAGGGTCTCCCAGCGGAAAGTGTATCCAGCGAATCTAAAGAATGTACCAAATCTTATATAAAACTCTTTCAATTGAAAAGAAAGAAAAACATAAATTTATCCTATCCTATCTCTTTAATATACATTGTATTTTCTTTTTGTTTAGCTTTAAAAATAGTATGCCCTTTTTATAGCCAGATTCGCAAAATTTTGTAAGACTCAGAAGCCATGGGCAATATATTGCAAAGAGCGTAGCCATATTAAAACGCTTTGTTATCAGGTATGGAGACTAGAGTATCATTTTGTAATTACCGCAATTAATTTATTGTACTTGGATGTGCAGCACAGAGGGAACTGAGGTTTGTACTGACTTGAAATACCACAATACTACAAGTATAATTTATCTACTGGAGGGGTGACTCAATCGAGGGCATTATGAGTTCCTCCAGACGGAGTTTCTGTGGGTTATGAATCTACTGATCCCTGCTGCAATTGAAATTTTCCAAAAACAAGCTGCTGGCCGCGGTGGTAGCCGAACAGCCTACTGAGATAGGGAGTTCAACCAAACCAATACACCAGCCTCGAAATAAACTCCGCTGCCCGAAAAATGATGTTTCGGCATCCGAATCCACGAATCTCCACGTATTGAGAGCATCAGAAACCGTGTTCCAAAAGTGAAATGGCAGTATCAGGGCTTTTTATTGCAACCTATTAATACGACTTGGGAGGTAGTCAAGGGCGCTGCATTCTCTATCTCAATTCCAAGTCCACTTATGAGTTGACAAAAACCATATTGAACCTTTCCAACAACAATGAGACTAATGCAAGATTGGTCCCATGTTCAGAGTATTGCCATTTTATGGGAGCCTTACGATCATCTGGGTTTGCTTACTCTCAAATGTTTCATATCGTGTTCGAACACTGAGAACGATCACTTTTCACCTCTCAGCATCAGATCAATCGTGTGAGACCTCATCCGGACTGAGACTTTGTAAAACTTGGTCCTGTTTAGGCTTCCCGGAACGCATTGCGTAAATTTGCAGAGTGATGCTCCTATTAGTCGCATGAATTGTTTAGCAATTAACAAATGTTATGGCACCCATACGTAATGATATGGTGATGTTGCCTAACCTTTTAATATCGCCGTTATATGACTCAAAGCAGAACCAGCGGAATATAAATTCCGACCCAAAGATGTGTTGCCATATTTGCTGTGAGACATCGATTGACTACCTTCATATCTGAGAACCAGTCAACGTCATGAGAGTTTCACTGTCATCAGGCAAAGTAAAGATACGTAGTTGTAGAGCAGTCGAGCCTGAATTCTACACATGAAACTTTTTGTAAGAGAGTCCGTTCGATATCATGTGACTAGTTCACTATACCTTCTGCCATTAGTGTTTAATGAGGCCGATTTCCTCTCTTGATTAGTGCAGAAGGGCTAGAAATTGTTTGAAATTAGAGCGACCACTCTATATACATATAGGACAGGAAATGATTGACCCGAAAATTGTTCATACGTATTTAGAGGACGAAACGAAGAAGACTAGTATACATCAGAGGACAAAGTGAATCATACAATGGGAACATGGCTTCGCGCTCCTCATCTATCCATTCTATACTCAATTTTGAGAGTTCCTGCTGTATGAATGAACCGGCAGAAAAGTATCCGCTTCGTGGCAGTAGCAAAAGCTGCGCGCTGAAACCCCGTATGCCGCCTATTTTAGTCAGTTCTCTGCATTGATACACAAAGAATATCAAAATACATCGCCGATTCACAATAGCGTGGGTACACATACCGGTTCCAGACAAACCACAGAATTCTTTGCCACATCCAGTTTTGCCAATTCATCGCGTTGTAAACCTAGAAAGTATGCCAGGAGTACTCGCACAATCGCTCTGTGGGTAACAAGCAGCAAATGATCTGTCATTCGTTCGAGTTCGATAATGACTGGGCGAAGCCGATTAATCACATCAAAATAGCCTTCACCCCCAACGCCCGGCCAACGATGAAGAAGCTTGTTCTGACTTTGAGAGGCGAAAACAGTCGGATGTAACGCTCGAATTTCCTCAAATGTGAGACCTGCCATGTTGCCCACATTGAGGTCGTCCAGCATCTTCATTTCCTTTTTTTCGTACACATCATCCGGGAAAGGAAGCGCGGTTTCGATTGCCTGCGGCATCATGGATGTCCATATGCGGAAATTGGGGAGGTTAAGCATGCCGTTATTCGTGTTGGATAAGGGTGCCTGAGGTAAGTGCTTTGCACTCCATTTGTCTCGCTGTTCCTCTATGAACTCTGACAACGCCCTTGCATACTGTCTTCCTTTACCAGTGAGACAGGAAGTACGTCCAATTTTCCCTGCCGCATCATCCAAGCTTTCCCCATTGCATGATATCCATATCTGTCGCTCGGATAGGTTGAAATTCAAAAGGTACTCAACCACGTGCGTTGCCAAATAGCCTCGAATCATGTGAGTGTTCATTTTGCGCCCGACATCAATCATTTGGACGTAAGGTATCCCCTGTTCCTCTTCAGCAATGCCTAGAGGAACGTACAATTTCTCGTAATTGGACACCCTCTGACAGAAGTCAGCAAGTGCCTTTTCCGGGTTTCGATGCTTGTAGTCTGGACCGGATAGTTTGAGGAGAAAGTTCTTTCTAAGGAGGTCTTGGTCGAAGCAGCAGCTTTCAAGGAAGAGAATACTTGGCTCTGGGCCTGGTCTTTGTCTGATGTGGGTGAGGACAAGCTGGCGCCTCCGTTGAGAGATGTTGGTTGCATCGAGGATACCAATGGTGCCGCCGCGGTAAATGAGCCAGTCAAGTAGCGAATCTAGAGTAGCTAAAGCTATTTGGTCTCGAAGGTTCACTAAATCGGGGCTGGTGGGATCAAAGAAAGCGGCTGGCGATGTTGACGACGATGAAGATGGCGGCACTATTAGGGGATTGGTTTCAGCGGTCAAAGTCCTTCGTCGATCTCCAACATTGAAGATACGGGTTTCATGTTGTAACCAATTCAGATAGCGGGCCAATTTCTTTACGATGTAGCTCTTTCCTCTTGCGGGAAGTCCAACCATAACAATAACCAGCTTTGCGCCAATATCTTGCGAGGCAATATAACCATCCGGGGAAATTGATGAGCGAGTCAGCCCGGGGATATCGAGAGTAGCAGGTCCTTTTCTCTCCGTGGTCATTTTTGTGTCCATTTTGAGCGGTCGTATTCTCACTATCAAATGGAAATATCACAGTAGATACAGATTTGGTGCAATAGATGCATAAATAAGGAAGTTTGTGAAGATCAAACCAGATACGCAATGGACCTTTTCATATTTGAGTCTGAATTTCGCTAGAAAAGCCCGGCAAATCTTGTCCGATCGGGATTGCAAGCAAGGTGGCCCTAGCTGAGCTATATTGACTGTATTTAAGAGCTGTCGTTAATTGTGAATCCTAATTACCATTCGGTTTTCTTTCGTAATACTGATGTGGCTAAAGCGGGCTCTAGCATAGTCTGCGAATGTGGATTGGACGAGACTAAACGTTCAATGCAACTACTGCGGAAGTAGGGAGAATGCAAGCCCCCATTGAACTCAGGCTCTGCTGGTATGGAACTCGAAACCCGAATATAAACAAGTATCAACACTGACCCATAGTGAATTAAGAACTATATACCCTTCAAGTCTCACCTTCTAGTCCGTGATTTCAAACCTCTTTTGCAACAGGTAATGTGTAAGAATAATCGATTGTTTATTGGTTCACATCAAGATCTTTCGCTCCGCCATTTTGGCATCACCTAGGTGAGAGTGGGTCTTTCCCAGATTGGTATGTCGACATATTTTAATGGGGGAAAGTGTGAAGATTCGAGCACTGAGAAAAAGCTATTCTTCATGTGACTATAAAAGCCCCGGAAACGAAGATTTATCCCAGTCAAGTACTTGATAACTATCAGCGTCACAGTCAAATTTCAGAATACTGTAATCAATTTCCTGGGTTCCTGGCTGAGTTCTGCATTTTTCTATCAACATCCAAGTCCCGTCCAGAGACCTGGAGGTGCGCACAACAAAATTAAGTACGTGTTGGCTTTCCGATGGGCTCTAAAGAAGCTGCGGTAGAAATTCTGGATCACAAACCGCAAAGATCGGCGTCTCTTAAGTGGCAACTTGCTCTTTCTTAATGGAGAATTTCAGCTAGCGAAAAGAATCCATCCGCAGCAGGTGAGAGGTCTCTACCTAGGATGTTGGAGTAAAAGCGGTAATGGTGTAAGGGTCTTGGTACTTCGCTTGCGCCACACGCTGACCTCATTATTCGGAATTTGGTTTCCGGATTCGTTGCTACTCGGAAAACATCCCACTTTTCTGATCCGAACCCCTGTGTACTAAGATGACAAGAAATCCTTCCTGAATATGCCACAAAGAAACATAAGCGGAAAACACGTACGCAAACATGTTACAACAGCTTGCATCCCATGCCGGGAAACTAAAGTTAAAGTATTTACACTTGCAGCACCAAGATGCCCCTACACTAACATAGACCATTTGTGTTCTACTAGTGCGACGGTACCACACCGATTTGCCTAAATTGTCAGAGCAAAGGGAAGGATTGTAGTTACCGAAAGCGCGATGATAAACGAAAGTATGATATCATATGCGCAGATGCTCCACGCATTGCTTTTGCTAATATTCCTATCAGAATACCCGTGCGCATTGCAGTTAGCTTACTTGCCAAACGAGTTGGTTCCCTGTCTCAATACATCCGGGATTGTGGCTTCGAAGTCCCTGCTATGAATGAGCAGGACCAAGACAGTCTCACAAAAATCCTTCAGGCGCTCGGATTGGGTTACGAAGAGATACAATCGGAGGGGCACACATCAAACCACGCGGAGGATAGTCCTAGTCTGATCAACTACCCTGCCCGGCTACCTGAGCAGGTAAACGAGGGCAACGAAGGGAATTCGAACGGCCGCAGTGCCCCTGATCTGATTTCAAATCCCCGTAGGCAGGGCGGTGCGGCGAAGGGACTGAGAACATTTCCAACGAGCCTGGGATTTGATAGGGCAGCGGAAGCATTATCAGTGAACTCAGTGCCAATAACTCACGACTCTAATATCTCTTTTCTTCTTGATTCCACCGAAGAAGCTGCACCTCAAACTCGTCTATCACCAGTCAATCCGCCGTCCCAGTGTGAACCGCATGAGTTACAGCCAGATGATGCGGCATGTGGTGACCTTCCAGACGCTGACGCTGATGATGAGTTTACAAACCAACTCTCTTACCGGCTGGGGCGGCTACAGTTCACCCAAGATGGGCAACTACGATACTTCGGCTCGACATCTAATCTCACTCTGCTAGATGCTCTAGTCAGCGTGGATTTACCCAATTCCAACATCACTCAGAAAGATACCCAAGAAGTCTTGGAAAATGCGAAACTCAATATTGACGTCGACAAGGATTTAGAAAATCACTTGCTTGAACTCTATTTTACATGGCAGAATCCCTCCCTATACCTCGTCGAATCTGAGAGATTTTGGAAGGCGAGAAAAGAATACATTCACAACGGTTTGATCTCTTCATATTACTCTCAGTCCCTCGTTGAGGCAATGTGGGTTCCCTAGAAGATCTGGGAAGGAATAAAACTAATGATATATTGCAGGTGTGCTTTGGGTGCTGCATATGCGCCCAAATATCACCCGGAGCTTGTCACCTTTCCCCGGTCTCTGCCGGAATTCTTTGGTGATAGGGCTAGAGCTTTATTGGAGTGCGAATTTGAACACCCTTCTCTGTCAACAATCCAATCCCTAGTTCTCGTTAGCAACTACGAAGCATCCAGGACAAGGGACACTCGAGGATGGTTATATAGTGGTAAGTATGCCAGCGATACTAGACCTGTTCAGCTCTAACGTGCAAAGGAATGGCCATGCGGCTTGCTTTTGACCGTGGCCTTCACATCGACATCACACCCTATGTGGAGAAAGGTATCATTTCAGCGGAGGAATGTAATACCCGGCGTACCATATTTTGGGCCGCGTATATAAACGAACAGTATGCTTTTCAAAGTTCACTTAAGGCTATGCACTTTTACTTACCCATTCAGGTTTTGGGGCTACTATTTAGGTCGTTCGGTTCGTAGTCCGATGGCAGGAGTCACGGTCCAAAAGCCCCACTGGAATAACGTACGCCCACCAACGATATGGAGGCCTTACGATTGCCTCAAAATCAGAACGGAAAACATGTATACTCCGTTAGAGATGATATGCCATCGATGGGTCTCTCTGTATGATCTCATGATGCCGCTTACTGATGTTTTGTGAGTCGTTCTGTCACCCTCCCTTTGTTTCACCTAATAATCTGGTCAAGATATGGATGTTCTGAAATTTCGAAGCGGGCTCTTCAGGAATTAACGGCGGCCACTGTTAGCCAACTGTTCGAATGGAAGAAGAACCTACCAGAGAATCTCGATGTCAATGTAGCAAAAGAATGTCAGGAGTATTTACCCCATATTCTTATACTACAGTAAGTTATCTTATCAAGAGCTTTTTATCTACCGCGCTTTTGAAACTAACGTGTAAACCAGCATGCAATACTATCAGTTCGTAATTCACTGCCATCGCCCTTACATATCGAAGCACTACACCCAAGCCCAGCCACCCCAAGGGCCTGGCTCTTCCCATGCGCGCAAGATGTGCGTTGAGTCCGCCATTACAATTGCCAAAGTTTTGATGATCTATGAAAAGCTTTATGGTTTTAGAAAGGCCAAATTTGCAGATGGTATCTTTTACTTTTTCTGCAGCACTGATCCTGATTTTCACCACCGTTCCAACGCAATCTAGAAGGCCTAATGAGGAGCATACCAAGTACCTTGGTACATGTTTCTGGGCTCTAGATGAAATGGGATACTGCTTTGAAAATGCCAAACGAACAAGCATGTTCTTGAACACCCTTCAGCAGCAGTGGCACAAACGCAGGCGGACTGCAACAAAACGAGATTTTCAAGGGGGCCCCGAGAATTGTCAAATTGAACGGGATACTCCAGAATTTTCTGCATACGATCGTCTTCGCTCATCGATGCAGACTTCCGGAGGCGTCGAGACGTTCCTGCCCTCTGATTACTGGAACCAAGACTATACTTCAGCTAGCGAAGAAGCCTTGGATTTGGTGGATTTCATGGATCCTGATTTATGCAATGTACTGTTAAGTGAAGGAATTCCAAGAGCATTCGTCTGATCGACTTTGCTCTCATTTTTCAATAAGTTCAATCCGTCCTTAGTATATATCTATATCCAACTGTCCCAAAACTTGCCTCCTTCTAGACCGCCTACCCACCATTAAGTAGAAATGTGCAACATATCGAACTCCAGAAGCTATTCAATTGATTAATCAGATGCATATACTGAGGGTTGAACTTAATTGAGGCTTTTTGTGCTGGGGTCTGGGAGTTGGGGAGGGGGCCATAAACTTTGGATATATCTGAACAGTAACTGAATGATCGTTTCTATAGTGATAAACAGATATACCATATCATCTTAATGATCCTTATGTGACGAGGTTGAAAACATTTTGATGATGGATGAGACCAGAACAGCTGGACTAAATCATTGTAGTGATTACCCATAAATGTAGTTCATCATACAAAACACCGAAAACTGAAAGTATGTGACCTGCACTTTAATATGCGCGTTAGACAATGCCCAAACAACCTGTCGACCTCACCCTCTGCCCCTATTTATACAATATAAATTTAAATTAGCATAGACAGTGTCCGTTTCCAGACACAGCTTCTATAGTAATGAGTCTCGATACTCCTTATCCGGCCAGCGGATCAGTAAATAGCATTGATGGGGCTTCTATACCCCTAAGGAGGGAGACTCTCCCACCGGCAATATCATTAAACCAGAAATTAATTTATACCATCCGAATGGAGCAGCTAATTGTAGAAATGGATCGTCACAGACACTGCCCAATTGCTTGGGATGCCTAGAGCGGTAAGTCTACGCATACTTATTGGCAGAAATCCGAAGTTGCTAATCCTATCTAGTCCCGCCGTGTAAAACGAAAGACTACTTCGAATAGGAAAATAGCAGCTAAAACGAATTTGATCCAACCTCCCGAGGTGAACTTTACCACTTAGTATGCCGTTTGCTTTATCCTCTCGGCATCACAGCAATTTCCCTACAGCCTAAAGAAAGGGACGCTTGTGGCAAACTGTCTGGTTTAGTTGTTTTAACAAGTCTCCTGGGGCAAAGGAAAATGTCATCCGCTTAGTCGTTTTTAAACTTCCCCGCATCGACATGTTTTCATATTCGAAAAGACATGTAACCGTGCCAAGCGCCCAATTAGGTGCAGGCGACCCGCCATTCGCTTATATTCTTGTTGAGCAGAATGGAACTTGTGTAAACGATCAAACTCATGCCTCATAATGACCTCTCAAATTATTGCTAGCCATCCAATTTTTGCCCTGATTTTGTTTAGATTAATCCTAACGCGGAAACGAACAGATAATTCGTGTGTTTCAACAAACTTTTTTTTTCAATGAAACCAATCCGCCGTCGAGGTTTCTGCGTTTTTTTTTGATTGGCGGACATCACAAATAGCGGGATTGAACCGTTTGTTGAAAATGTTGTCATAATATTGCCCCCACTATGTACTGTTGCGTTTATAATCATCCGGGATATGAAACCCGGGCATGACAACCTTAGGAATTTAAAGACGGTCATGTCCTTTGGCTATAAGTCCTTCGATAACTAAACTTTTATTATTTATACATCTTATAGCGAGGTTTCGACATTGCCTCCTGTCCGCCATGCCCCAATCTGGCAAGCACGCTCTTATTTTTGGAGCCTCGGGTATTTCGGGGTGGTCCCTCCTGAATCAATGCCTCCACTACCCAACAACTACGACCTTCAACCGCGTCACAGGTCTCTCCAATCGACCATTTCCAACAGATGATGCACTTTTGCCAGATGATGCACGTCTTCGCTTTGTGTCGGGGATCGACCTTACACAATCGGTGAAGACGGTTAGCGATCATCTCAAAGCCAAGGTTGACGATATTGAGTCAGTCAATGTGGTCTT